GTAGCCGCACTTGCTGGGGCAGCACTTGGTGGCACCGGGGCAGCCAGCATCTCTGGTGCAGCGGGAGCAGGAGGCGTCCTTGTGGCAGGCGTTGCAGTCCTGGTGCAGCAGGTCCTCCACCTCTGGGATGTGGTAGCAGTACCCGGGCTTCACTGCAGGACACACATAGCAGGACGCTGGGGAGGGCTCAGGGCAGCCCCCCAGCACCCCACGGCTGGACGCTGGTCACCCGCAGCCCCGTGCCCCTGCAGGCACCGCGCGGGGAGCTCTGGGTGGCAGCCGCATCAGGAGCATCCCCGGCACATGCCCTGAGCCCGCTCACCCGTCCCCAGCTCCTCTTGTCCAGCTGTGAGCGGGGTCGGGCCAGACCGTGCGGAGAGGGGGAGCAGGGCTGCGAGGAGGGGGAAGAGGAAGAGGCGGCCTGGCAGCAGCTCCATGGTGCCCTGGGCAGCCGGGTCTGGCCCGGGCACGGCGGGCCGGGATTTAAGGTGTGCCGGGGGGCGGAGGGAGCCCGGCTAATTCCTGCCATGTGGGTAACGAGCCGCGCCCAGGCCGGGCCCGGCCTCCCCGGCAGCATCCCGCAGCAGCGCTGAGCCGGGGCGACCGGTACGACGGGATGGCTGCCCCGGTGCGGCGGCGGCATTGCCCGCGCCGGGCTGGGGGCACCACCGGCGCCCGCAGCAGCCCCTGGGGACGAGCCGTGGTGGCGACGGGCACGGGGAGGTCGGTGCCAGCCTCTGCGCTGCCGGGGAGCATGGAAAGGGCGCAGAAAGCCTCCGGGGCGTCACAGGGCAGGGTCTGGGCACCGGGCGCTGCGGGACTGCTCTGCCCGCGGTGCAGGTCCGCGGGGAAAGGCCCCTTCACCCCTTTCTGCCGCGCTCCCCCCCGGTTGATGGAGCATCCCGGGCGGATGGTCCCACAAAGCGCTGAGCCCTCGGTCCCACCCCGTGTGCCAGCCACCACTGCTGTGGAAGAGAGGACCCCCAGGACAGTGATGCTCCCGTCTCTCCTCACCCTGCAGGCACTTTGCCACCCACTTCATCACCTTCTCCTGGGCTGGGACCATCCCCTTCACTTGCTCCCCTCCCGGGGCTGCCTGTGCAGAGCCGTGCCTGTGCCCCCCCGAGCCCCCCTGCGTGTGAGGCATTCATTCCCTGGGACACAGCTGGAGGTCCAGACCCACTGCAGCGCAGGGCTGCGGGCGCTGGGCAGGGCGCAGGCACATCCCCGGTATCCTGCCAACACCCTTGGGCGGGCGTGGGGTGAAACATGCCAAAAGGAGGGAGAAACAGATTAAGCTGTTGCCATTCAGCAGGAATAATTGTCTTCCTAATTACGGGCGTAATTACCGTCCCAAGGGGGAAGTGGAGGGCGAGGAAAGCTCCGTGGGGAGAGGCCAAGAAAGTTGGATGTGGGGTGCAGTTTGCGGGGACACCCACGTCCCAGTGCAGCCTTTCCCTGCCTCTGCTGTGAAACCCAGGATGGAGAGCCTGGCAGCGGCACCGCACGGGACACGGTGATGTGGCAAAGCCTGAGTGGGGCGGGAGCAAAGCTGGAGGGACACAACAGTGACAGGAAAGGAACCCCTGCGGAGGGACAGGGGTGGTCCTGGGGCTGCAGCTCATCTTCCGTGACCTGGAGCTGCACAGGACATTCCCAGTGACACAGAAACTCCCAGCACTGCGTCCCACAGGAGGGCAGGGCCACGGCACCAAGTCCACCGGCACTACATTTTTCCCCATTATCTTCCCATGGTATCTCAGCCACCCGGGTGATCACTGCAGGGACTGACATCATCATCCAGAACAGCCCCTGCTCCCAAAGGAATGCCATGGCCAAGGTGGGCAGACACAGCGGCGGATATGGGGCTGGTGCCGCTGGTGCTAGGGCTTGTGTCATCCTGGGGGGGTGGGTGTGGGGTGTGTGGGACAGCTCTGTGCCACCAGGATGATGTCCTGATGGGACTGATGCTCCATGGCGTGATGGGAGCCAGGTGCTGTCCTGCTGCCCCCCCTGACCTGACCTGACCCTGTTCACAGTGAGGATCCCCCAGCACAGCAGAGCCCGTGCTCCCCACTGCTGCTCATCCCATGCCTCCGTGTGCTCCCGGGATGGGTCACACCAACGGGAGAGAGTCCCCATGCACTCAGTGGCATGCTGGCAGGTGCATGGTGCTGCCCACCCAGCCTGGACCGCGGGTGCTTTGGGTGGCACACGCAGCGTGCGCTGCGCACACACGCAGCCATGCACACACACACGCAGCGTGCGCTGCGCACACACGCAGCCATGCACACACACAGCGCGCGCTGCGCACACACGCAGCCATGCACACACACACGCAGCGTGCGCTGCGCACACACGCAGCCATGCACACACACACACACGGAGCGTGGACTGCGCACGCACGCGCACGTGTCCAGCCCGTGCCGGCTGTGGCTGCACGTGCACACGCACACGCTCGCACACGTGCGTGCAGCCGGCCCAGCGAGCCGGAGCCCTCCTGCCTCTTCCCGGAAGGAAAATCCCAGCAGCTCCAGAGCCTCCGTCCTTGCGACACGCAGCGGCAGCAGCCAACGCCACCAGCAGCCCCGTGCGGCGCCGGCCAGGGCAGCCCCTGCTGCCAGCATGGCCTGTGGCACACTGGCAGGTGCCTCCATGGTGCTGGGGGCAGCTTCGTGCCCCCCAGGAGAGCCGGGCCCTGAGCGATGCCAGGCATGGGCAGAGCTGTGGGGGGGAAGCAGAGCCAGACCCTGGGAAGGGTTCTGTCCTTCCAGATGCTGATTCATGCCCATGCCTGGAGCCCCAGCAGCAGGCGGCTGCAGCGGCTGGAGTGGTTGGTCCCACCAGCCCCATGGAAGGGGGCTGTGGGGTTCCAGCCCCATGGAAGGGAGCAGGAGGCAAGAGGAAACTCCAGCAACAGGGACCTGGGCACCCACCCTGGCTCCTCGAAGGACACAGGACTTGGTGCTATGACCCCACAGTCCTGGCACCCAGGCAGAGCACCCACACAGCCTCCAGCTCCCTGCTCCCAGCATCAGGGCCCTGTACCCCCCCCGTTAGTCCTGGTCCCCAGCTGCTGCCCAAGGTGTGGGGCCAGGTGGGCATGGGCTGGCCGGGAGCTGGGGGGCTGCGGTGGCAGCGCGGGGCTGTGAACCGTGTCCTGTCACAGGACGTCCCCTGGGAGCCAGCGATTGTTCCCGGAGGCAGAACAATGCCTGGGGAGCTGCCAGGGCACCGCGGGCCGCTCCACAGTGCCCAAATGGGAGCCACCTCCATCGCCCCGGCACGGCCAGATCCACGCAGGTTCTCTGGACCCTGCCTGTACCTGCCCTACGCAAAAGGAAGCTGCACCAGCTGCTCTTGTGACATGGCACAGCATGGCACACAGCACACATGGCACAGCATGGCACAGCATGGCACACATGGCACAGCATGGCACACATGGCACAGCATGGTGCACAGCACACATGGCACAGCATGGCACACAGCACACATGGCACAGCATGGCACAGCATGGCACACATGGCACAGCATGGTGCACAGCACACATGGCACAGCATGGCACACATGGCACAGCATGGCACACATGGCACAGCATGGCACACACGGCACACACGGCACACATGGCACACATGGCACACACAGCACATACGGCACACACGGCACACACGGCACACATGGCACACATGGCACACACGGCACACACGGCACACATGGCACACACAGCACAGCACGGCACACACGGCACACACACACACAGCACACACGGCACACACGGCACACACGGCACACACGGCACACATGGCACACATGGCACACACAGCACAGCATGGCACACACAGCACACACAGCACAGCATGGCACACACAGCACAGCACGGCACACATGGCACACACAGCACAGCACGGCACACACAGCACACACAGCACAGCATGGCACACACAGCACAGCACGGCACACACAGCACACACGGCACACACGGCACACATGGCACACAGCACAGCACGGCACACACAGCACAGCACGGCACACACAGCACACACGGCACACATGGCACACACGGCACACATGGCACACACAGCACAGCACAGCATGGCACACACGGCACACATGGCACACACAGCACACATGGCACACACGGCACAAACCGCACACAGCACACACGGCACACATGGCACACATGGCACACACAGCACAGCATGGCACACACGGCACACACGGCACACACAGCACACACGGCACACATGGCACACACGGCACACACGGCACACATGGTACACACAGCACACACAGCACAGCACGGCACACACGGCACACATGGCACACACGGCACACATGGCACACATGGTACACACGGCACACATGGTACACACAGCACACACAGCACACACGGCACACACGGCACACACACACGGCACACACGGCACACACGGCACACACGGCACACACAGCACAGCATGGCACACACAGCACAGCACGGCACACACAGCACACCACGGCACACACGGCACACACGGCACACATGGCACACACGGCACACACGGCACACACGGCACACACGGCACACATGGCACACACAGCACACACGGCACACACAGCACACACGGCACACACGGCACACATGGCACACACAGCACACATGGCACACATGGCACACACAGCACACACGGCACACACGGCACACATGGTACACACGGCACACATGGCACACACAGCACACATGGCACACATGGCACACACAGCACACACGGCACACACGGCACACATGGCACACACAGCACACATGGCACACATGGCACACATGGCACACACGGCACACACGGCACACACGGCACACACAGCACACACAGCACACACGGCACACATGGCACATGGCAAACACAACACAGCTCTCCGAGGGCTGCACAGAGCAGGAGCAGCTTTGTGCCTCCTGCCTGGCTCGTCCAGCAGCACCATGCAGGGAGGGGAGGGGGGGTCACGCTCAGCCGGAGCGTGCTGGGCGCTGGGCACGGACCAGGTCACTGGGACCAGCCTCCAGCCATGAGAGGATTTAAAGCTGCGCCCAAGCCCTGGGGCTGCCCCGCACCATGCGGCTGCTGCTGCTGCTCCTGCTGCTGGGGCTCTGCTGCCTCTGGGCCCGGCTCGTGTCTACCGGTGAGTGCAGGGCGGGCACGGGGCCGGTGCAGCGGGAGGGTGCAGCCATGGCCGGAGCCCAGCTTCCTGAGCAGGGGCGATGGCTGCACCCCAGCGTGCCCCGAAGCCAGGGCCTGGGACACGGATGCTTTGGTCTCTCCCCAGGACTCACCTAACCCCTGCGTGGACCTGGGCCAAGGACCCAGCCTGTGCGGCCAGCGGACAGACACGGACAGAGAGCGGCCATGGAGGGACCCACCAGCTGCTGGATAAGGGCCCGTTCCCCTGCTCCCACCTCCACCCCTCACCCTCAGCTCCCTGCAGAGCACGGGGGTCTCAGTGCCCCCCACCCCCAGTAAACCCTTTCTGCAATGAGCACTGGCTGGCTCCTGCTGCATCGGGCTCCTGGTGAGCCCCCGCGGCAGCCCTGGGAGCTTTGGGCCCTGCGGGAGGGGCTGGGTCCAGAGGGGGCTGTCACCGTGGCAGCACGTCCCGGGGATGGGTCTGTCCCCAGCTCCAGGAGCCCATGTGGGCCCTGGCCAAGCTCTGCCATGGCAGCTGCTGCCGGAGGATGCTGGAGGGTGGCCGTGGGGCAGCTCACCCCAAGGAGCCCCCTCTGAGCTGGCCCAGAGATGTTCTGTTGGTCCTGGTGGGGCTTGTCAGGGCCATTCCTGTGGCTCTCTCACAGGGGACCAAGTTATGTTGCTGTGCAAAGGGCCCTGCCAGGCTCACACCAGGCAGAAGCAGGCACAGGAGCTCCTCATGCATGGGACAGGGCTGGGGCAGCCTTGGCGGGCTGGCCATGCCAGGCACTGACCAGGGACAGCTTGTCACGCCAAACCAGTGGCTCTGTGTGGGGTTTATTAGGAAAGAGAAGGACCTGACCAAACATGGTTGGTGCCCGGGGCCAGCCCTGGCAGAGTGAGGCAGAGGAGGAGCCCCAGGGCAGCCACTCCTGCACCCACCCACCACAGGCTCTGCTTGCTTCCTCACACACCTGGTGGCATGGATCACCAAGTGTCATCGCCATAACCACCACCATCATCACTGTCATCATCTTCATCGCCATCTCCATAGTCTTCATCATCATCACCATCACCATCATAGCCATTGTCATCACTGTTGTCATCACTATTGTCGTCATCACTGTTGCCATCATCGTCATCACCACTATCACCATTGTTGCCATCATCATTGCCATCATCACCATCATCATCACCATTGTCATCTCCAGCATCATCTCCATCATCATTGCCATCGTCACCTCCATCATCATCACCATCGCTGTCGCCATTGTCGTTGCCATCGTCACTGTCACCATTATCATCACCATCACCATGCTCATTTTTACCCTTATCATCATCATCATCATCATCATCATCATCATCGCTGTCATCATCCTCCCCACTGTCACCCTGGTCAGATTCAGGTTTCTCTCCTGCCTCAGGCTTCCCCTCGCTCTCTGGCTTCCCCCCAGCCTCTGGCTTCCCACCAGTCTCTGGCTTCCCACCAGTCTCTGGGTTCTCCCCCAGCACAGGTTTATCCCCAGTGTCCGGCTTCTCCCCAGCCTCTGGCTTCTCTCCAGTGCCCGGTTTCCCTCCAGCCCCTGGCTTTGCTACAACCTCTGGCTTCTCCTGAGTCTCAGTCTTCCCCCCACATGGTGGCTTCTTCCCTGAACTGGGTTTCTTCCCTGTGTCAGGCTTCCCAGCCAGCGCAGGCTTGTTCCCATCCAGTGCGGGCTTGTTCCCATCCAGTGCGGGCTTGTTCCCATCCAGTGTGGGGTTGTTCCCATCCAGTGCGGGCTTGTTCCCAGGCAGTGTGGGCTTGTTCCCATCCAGTGCGGGCTTGTTCCCAGGCAGTGTGGGCTTGTTCCCATCCAGGGCGGGCTTGTTCCCATCCAGTGCGGGCTTGTTCCCAGGCAGTGTGGGCTTGTTCCCATCCAGTGCGGGCTTGTTCCCATCCAGGGCGGGCTTGTTCCCTGCCGCAGGGCCTCGCCCGGGCTCCGGGTTCTTCCCCGGTGCAGGCGTTGCAGCAGCCACGGGCAGGCGCTGGTCCTTGCACACCCACTCCGCACACGCCTCCCAGGTCCCATCGCGGGCGGCATTCCCGGGCAGCGGAGCGGGCACCGCGCTGGGCCGCTCCCCAGGCAAAAAGCTCTTCCCGACCAGAGCGAGTCCAGGACATTCCGGCTGCAGCCGCGGGTCCGGGGCTGCTCCGGGGCGCCCTGGAACGGAGCAGAGAGCAGCAGCGTCACCCCCTGCGCTGCCCTCGCACCCGCAGCTCCCGGCCATCGCACCCAAAGCTCCAACCCCCCCGGTTCCATCCCGTGCACCCCGAATCCCACCCGCAGACAGGCACTGCGCAGAGGGTGGATGCAGGGCTTGAGGAGCTGGGCAGCATGTGGAGAGGAGAAGCAAGAAAGTGAGTGTGTGACTGCAGCAGCTGCTTAGCAAAACCAACCCAAATACAGTAGGTGCTGTTTAACCAGGGCAGGAATGCAGGAACTGGGAGCACTCAGGTCTATGAGCTCTCGTTGAGCAGCGGCACACGATCTCCCTCAGCAGCAGCACAGCCCACGGCTCCCCACAGCAGTGCCATCTCCCTGGCATTGCTCTGGGACAGGGAATGGGACCAATGCATTGGCAGCAGAGGCACCGGCACCGCTGGTTGCTGGCAGAAGGTGGGTTATGCTACAGGGCTTAGAACCAGCCTGTAGCTGAGACCAAAAGAAACTCAGGTTTCCAGAGGAGCACTGGGAAGTGATGACATTTCTGCTGACACATTTAGATTAGTGCACGGTGGCCCCAGCATCCTGTTACAGAGCAGCAGCAAACCAGGCTTCCACTGCACAGGAGCTGGTGCTGCCTCAGAGTTTGAGCTCGGCTGGCAACGCAGGCGGGAGAGTTCGGAAAGGAGGGTCTGCAAAATACTCTCAAAATCACTTCATGGCTCATTCAACAGGAGTGCTGTTTCCACGGCATTGAAACGTGGCCGGTTTTCCCAAGAAAAGAATAATATTAGAAGGAAAACTATTCTTCCTTGATAATTTCCCCTCTCCAAAACGGCACCTCGCCTGGGCTGGTGCTTCCAGAGGGCTCACGGTGGGAAATGCCATGAACAGCCCCCAAGCCAAGCACTGGGGCAGCCGCCAGCAGGACTATCAGGGTCCAGCCCATCCCAGTCTCGGTGCAGCATCTGGGTCTCTGCCGGGGCTGCATCAGCACCAATCCCTGCCCCAGGTCCTCGTCCAACCAAACCTCCCCCCAAGCATCCCTGTGCCTGCGTGCCGGTTCCACAGCCCTCTGCATCCCGGCAGGAGTTTTGTTGGACTCAAAGTTTACACAATCGAAGCCGCAGCTAAACCTGAGCAGGGATCCAGCTCCTCACAGGAAGCTTTCAGAAACGCAGGGATTAAAGCAGACATTTAAACATCACCATCAACACTGATCTAGTGGAGGATGTCCCTGCTCATTGCAGGGGCTTGGAGCAGTGACCCCGCTTCCAACCCAAAGCATCCCGTGAGCCTGTGAACACCCTCAGTCCTGGCGAGGCCGGGGGCTCCCAGCCCGCCCGTACTTGCCTGCGGTGGGTGCCGCCTGCAGCTCTGCCCCCAGCGCCAGGAGCGCCAGCAGGAGGACGCCTCTCGCTCTCATGCTGCCGGAGCCAGTGGTGCCGGCACGGAGCCGGCGGCGATTTAAAGTTCCTCCCGGCGGGCTGGGAATGGGAGGAAGCAGCTCCCAGGTGACCTGCGGGAGCCTCCCACAGTTCGCTGCAATTCTGTTCTCTGGAGAGCCGCTCCAGTGCCTTTCTCCACCCCTAACCCAAGCCGGCCGCATGCCGCAGGGAGGACGGGAGGGCGACAGGCGGAGGGAAGGGTCTGCTCCAATGAGATGGAGCTCTCTGGAGGGAAAAGCCTCGGGATTTCAAGTCAAGAGCTCAGCCAAGGTGAAGAGAGCACAGGAATCTGCCTTCAAACCCCAGGTCCAAGCTGCTGGCCTTCACCAGAGACCCACCGTAAAAGACAAACGTGCTGCCACCTTTATTTCCCTTTTCTCTGCACCTGATTTCAGGGTAAAGAATGTGCTTGAGATAACAGTAAGCAGTACCTTCAATAATGACAACCTGTTTACATTGTTATTCTCAATTCACACGGGTGTTGGAATCTAATTTTGTAATTTTTTCCTTTCCTATTTAGCTATTTCTTCCTGAATGATACACAAGCCAAAGTGCAATCAGCATTATAGGAGCACTTTAGGACTAGCCTGGCCAGGAGACACCAGCACCAGGCAAGAATGGGTCAGACTTGCTGGATCAAAAAAAGTTTAAACCTGTAGCTGTGGGGAGACTGAAACCAACTGGTTTGAGCTCAGTGTTATTTCTACAGTTCTAAGCAGTGTCCACTGCTTCTTGCCAGCACAGGAGAGGTGAAGGTCCTGCTCAGAGCGCTTTCCATCAGGCATACCGAAGTGATGCAGCAGCAGCGCAAGGGGTGAGACTTGGAAGCAGGAAGGTGCACTGCTGCGTGCTGCCAAACCTGTGTGGGAAGAGGGCTTGGTGCAAGAAACACATTTTAAGAACAGGTTTAATCCTCTCGTGGCCATGACTCAATTCGGTGCCATTTCCACGTGAACCGCCCGTGTCTGCCGGAGATCCGGTGTTCCACCCTGTGGCTCCAGGCCTGACCTCCCAGCCCAGTGCTTATCGTGTGCTGCTGGAGCGTGACACCCCCCGGAGCCTGCACTGGGGTGCTGGGCTGGGGCAGGTCATCGCTGAACTGATGCAGAGCTCACAGCATTCATGTAAATCCCTCCATGGGCAGCAGGGGCTTGCTCAGGCCCTCGCGCATGCCCACCCAGCTCCACAGACATGGAACATCCTGAGGCTGACACGGAGCGATGGGAAAGGGGCTCTCGGCATTCAGACAGCTGTGTTTCCTTCCCTCTCCTATTCCCCCTCCTGTTCCCTCTCCCACACACCTCAGCCCCCTGAAACCCAGGCTCCTCTCCTGTGCCCTTTCTGTGAGGGTTGGTGCACTTTTACAGAGTTTGATGCTAACCAGTGATGTTAAAGGGTAAAGGTTACAGGGTATGGTCCCATTCCTCCTTCCGAATGCCCTGTGCTGCCTCTCACACCGCAGCCGTGTGGTGACCTGCAAGGGCAGAGCCAACACTGTCATGAGGAGCCAGGGAGATAACGAAGCTTTTGCACGAGTCTTGCTGCCAAAACAGGATGTGGGATTGGGCTCAACAGGTTTCTGCTGCCACCAGAACCTGCCTGCACTGAGGGACAGACGGGACTTGTCTGAAGTGTCTCTGTGAATCAGGAAAGCATTCAGGAAGCCTCAGCTGTGAAGCGGCTGTTGGTGCGTGTCAGACACCCGCAGGCTGGCGTGTTCTGCACACCCACCACACAGATCCATGGAAAAAGTACCGTTAAACAATGGGAGATCCAAACAAGTCATCTCATCAGCTACGTTGTGGTGATCCCTGACATTGTTCTGGTCTGCTCTTCAAAAGACATCCCCACCCCTGCCAGAACAGGGACTCCTTTAGTGAGAATTTGTTGCAGGATTTAAGTCTCTGTGAAAGCTTTTCCATAGATCTGATCCACGTCTCACTTGATTCAAACCGACAAGAGGATTTGTCTGCTCACAGTGGGCGCAGAGAGCAACCAACAGTGTCCTCTCAGCAGCACATGTACCGAGCTGAGCCCTCTCTCCGTCGAGCTTTGCAGGTTGAACAGAACCACTTCTCTCACCTCCCATGACTTCCACAGCCGTAGTTGTTTTCCCTCCCCTCTGGATGTCCCATCTTTGCTGTGAACAGTTTGGAAGAACCAGAACAAGCACGTGATGAGCCAGGGCTGGTGGTGATGGAGCTGATGACAACTCAACCGGCTCCACATCCGCAGGTCAGGTTTGTGCGCCAGCCTGGTCCCCTCCCGCGCTGACGCAGCCCGGCCAGGGCAGCAGGAAGGACACAAGGAGGGCAGGAGCGGCCCAGCCTCTCCTCCCGCTCCCGGCTCTGGTCTCCCGCGGGTGCTGAGCGCGGCCGCTGCCGACAGCAGCAATGGGAGGATCCCCCAGGCCGCGGTGAGGGGACACAGCCACAGGCTGCCGTGACGCAGACACCCACAGACCATCCTCTGGCAGCACCAGCACCGTGCCCGTGCCACAGACACTGGGCTGCAGCGCCCAGCAAAGCCACTGGGGAAGGAGAAGCTGCTTGCCCTCAGTGCAGCACAGTGCAGGGATTTCCCCTCGCACATGGGGCACACAGGACCCCTCTGCTCGGCACCATCCTCTGCGCCAGTGGCTCTGGGTGTGGGGCAGTGAGTGACCTCAATGCCTCAGGCTGTGGGAAATTCCATTTCTTTGGGTTATCTTCTCATCACCTTGGAAGGAACAAGGAAAAGCATTAGCTGCACGTCAGCAAACGCTTTTTAACCCTACATTGCTCTCCAGCCGACCCGATGGAAAAGCACAGGTCTAGAAAACGACAGACGAGTTATTTTGAACGTTCTGCACACATGGGACGAGGTGGGGAAATGCTGGAGCGTTTCCTCAGCTAAACAGCAGCATTCCGGAGGTGAGGGCTCTGAGGACACGGACACGGAGCTGCTGCACCCGAGCAGGAACGAGCCTGGGTTTCTGTTCCGGGCACAGCAAACACCACAGCGGTGACCGCGCGGAGCGAGGCAGGAGGAGCCCGCCCGCTCCCGCCGCCATCCCTTGGGCGGGGTCAGAGCGTGACGGCTCCACCGGGGACCGGGACCGGGACCGGGGCGCGGGACGGGGACGCTGCGCCCAGACCGCGGCACCTCGGCCCCGGCTCGGAGGGACCCGGCCACGTGTGCCCCGCCCGGCGCCGTTGCCATGGCAGCGCATCACTTCCGGCGCGCGGGCTCTGCGGCGCGGGGCGGTGACGCGCGGGGCCGGGGCCGGGGCCGGGGCCGCCATGGGAGCCGCCCGCGATGCGGAGCAGCAGCAGCCGGGGCCGGGCGAGGCGGGCGCGGACGGCGCCGAGGAGCTGCAGGTGAGCGCGGTGCGGAGGGGCCGCGCGGGCCGGGCGGGCCGCGCGGGCCGCGGCTGATGCGTGTGCCCCGCAGAGCCCCTGGAACATCATGATCAAGCACCGGCAGGTGCAGCGGCGCGGCCGGCGCTCGCAGATGACCACCAGGTACGGGCGGGCAGAGGCGGGGGATCGCGGCCGGAGCAGGCTGCGGCCGGGCCGCGTCCCCCGCTGACCCCTCCGCCCGCAGCTTCACGGACCCGGCCGTGTCCATGGACCTGCTGCGCGCCGTCCTGCAGCCCAGCATCAACGAGGACATCCGCGGGGTCTTCAACAAGTACATGAAGGTGAAAGCCGCGGGACGGGCCCCGCAGCGGCCGTGGGTGCCCGGGTGCCCGTGCTGAGGCTGCTCAGGCGCTAACCTGCACCTCTGCAGTTCTTCCAGAAGGCAGCGATCAACGTGCGCGATAACGTCGGGGAGGAGGTGGACCCGGAGCAGCTCATCCAAGAGACGTGTCGGAGCTGCCTGGAGCAGGTGAGTGTGCGCCTGGCTGGGATGTGTCCCTTGTAACAGCTGGGGGGACATCTGCAGCCCTCACGTGGTGTAGAACCACAGACTGGTTTGGCCTGGAAGGGACCTTAAGGATCATCCAGTGCCACCCCCTTGCCACGGTGCCGGGTGCCCAGACTCTGTCAGGCTCAGATCGTGCATTTGCATCTTGCTGCACTGTGCAGTGGTGCTCCGAAAGCAGAGCAGTTACGGGGCTGTCGGGCAGATACATGAAAGAGGGGGTGTCAGGCAGGTCCCCCTCTGGACCCAGAATGGAGCAACCTTTCTTCCTCTTTCTGCAGGCCAAACTGCTGTTCTCAGATGGGAAAAAGGTGGTTCCCAGGCTGCCCCATGAGCAGACAGTGCCAAAGGTAAGTCATTGTTCCCAAAGGCCTGAATGACTTGTCAGAGCTGGGAGGAGGAGGAGGGTTGAAATTGCTTACTCTTCTGCCTCTTCCTGTCCGGGGTTAGAGCTGGGGGACTGAGTCTGGGAGGGGGGGACGTGCAGGACCCGAAAATCACAGCTGCTTCCCATGGTTTGGTGCTTCTCACCGAGGTGGGGTGGGATCAGGGATCAGCCTTTCCCCACAAAGGGAGAGCGGCGGCTGGAGAAGGACCCTGCTCACCCCACTGCTGCTCCGCTTCCAGCGAGCCCGACAGATGGATGAGGAGCTGAACCGCCGAGGGAGCCCCATTCCCAAGAAGGTAGGGGCGTTTGTGCACGGGCACAGGCAGCTTCTTTGCTGCCTCGGAGGAGGCTGTTCTCCTGCCAGCACTGCTGCCGGTGACAGAAGGAGCAGCTTCCCTGGGAGGGGGGGCAGCCGAGCAGGTTCTCAGCTCACAGAGCTGAGTCACTGGAGGATTTCTTCCACACAGAGAAAGGGGCGGCCTCCAGGACAGAGCCTCTTGAACGATCGCGGGGCCTCCGGCATAGCTGCGTGAGTACCAGAACGTGTCCCGAGCTGGAGCCCTGATTTGGGAGGGTGGGAGGAAATGAGGCGGCACGAATCAGGAGTACAGAAAGGCTGTGGTCTGCTCCCCCTCCCGCAGGAAGGAGAGGTGCAGGGGGTGCCCAGGAGGAGGGGGGTAGGTTGAGGAAGTGGCATTAAACAGGCCTGGAGGGGTGGAAAGGTCCACATGGACTGTTTGGAGTGAGCAGCTTGACGGTGGTGGTGGGGTCGTGGCTGCCAGGGAGAGAACATGCAGCAAAGATGAGGGTCTGGAGCAGGGACTGAGCCCCAGCTCCGGTGGGGGCTGTGCTGGTCCCACAGGGACTCGTTCTCACTGCATTTTCCTTCCCTTCAGGTGGAAGCTCAAAGTCTCTGAGCCCGTGAGAAGGGATGGACCAAAGGTATTGGCTGGCCAACGCTGCTGGGCTCACCCTCTCCTCCCCTTTGCTCCCGCCAGCAGAGCCCTGCTGCTGCAGGAGCAGAGGACAGCACTGAGCTGTGCTCTGCCCCAACGGGCCCCTGTGGCACAGAGAAGCAAGAAGAGGAGCGAAGTGCCTGGAGGCCTTTGCTTGCCTCCTCCAGGGTAGCCTTTAGCTGTGGTGTGGGGCTGCTGTTAGGAGACCTGGGGAGAGCAGCAGCAGCCAGGAGGATCCCACAAGGGTTTCCCACCAGGGAAACGGCTTAAATCAGCCCAGGGGGATTGTAACTTCCCTCCTCTGCGGGAGTCTGGAGGTCTGTGTCCAGCTCCCAGGCCGGGGCCTGTTCGAGGTACCCCATCAGAGAGCTGAGCTCGTGGAGCATGGGCCAGCAGCAACCTCATTTCTAATGTTGCCCCTTTTCCAATTGCTCTGTAGTGGGATCCATCCCGACTGACTGAAACCACAACCTTTGTGCTGGGATCTCGAGCAAACAAGTAAGGAGCGGCCCTGTTGATGGAGGGTGGTGTCTCCAAGGCAGGAGCCCATAAGACCCTCCCGTCACTTCGCTTCTCTGCCTTGAAAGCAGCAGGAAGGGCCTGGGGAGGAGAGAGGTGTCCCCGTGCTGCCACAACCGCCCTTGCGCACTGTGACACCTCTCCTGCTCCTCTTCCAGGGCTCTCGGGATGGGAGGAACAAGAGGGCGACTCTACATCAAGCATCCCCACCTCTTTAAGGTCAGATGCTGCAGCAAAACACTTCCTTCTTCGGGGCTGGCTTGGAATCGGTTTCTGGTGGGAGCGGGGAGCCCGTGCTTTGGATCGCTTGTGTTCCTGCCCCACCATGCCCCTGTTTTTTGTCCTGGAGCACATTCCTGCAGTCTGGCTGGGGCGCTGGACACGAGTTGAGGGCTTAGTGCGGCTTCTGCAGTGATGGGTCTGCCTGGAGCCGGGCCCTGCAGCTGGAGGAGCCAGAGCCCTCGCGGGGAACGTTGAAGCGGGTGCAGCGTCCTGGCAGGAGGGGGGTCAGAGCGGGAGGGTCTGTTCCTGTGTTCAGCCAGGTCCTTGCTGCTCTATTGCAGTACGCAGCCGACCCGCAGGATAAGCACTGGCTGGCAGAGCAGCAGCACATGAGGGCCACGGGGGGCAAGATGGTGAGTATGGCTGGGCTCCAGGCTCCTGCAGCCATCGGGGATTGCACAGAGACCCACCGCAGGGCCAGGACAGCGGCTCTGCCAGGACACCAGGCAGGGCATGTGGAGCAGGCGTGCCCCACAGTCCCTTGGGATCCGGGTGCCCAGGAGGGCGAGTCGTGCCATCTGGGGATGGGGGACGTGGCACTGCCGTCGCCATGTGTGGCAACCCTGAGGTGTCCTCCCATTGTGCCGCAGGCCTACCTCCTCCTCGAAGAGGACATCCGGGATTTGGCTGCCAGCGACGATTACCGGTGAGGAATGACCCGGATGTGGCCATGCTGTGGGGCTGGGGGCTGCTGCCCTGGGGACCCCAACACTGTGGGGAGACTGTCCTGGAGGGGCCATGCCCCATGCTGCATGGGGTGCTTGGTGCTGGTTAGGGGTGGATGCTGGGGTTTTGGACTTGGTGGTAGCTGGGAGTCCATGGTGGGTGCTTTGGGTCCAGGCTCAATGCTGGCTGGGGTCTGGGCTTGGTGCTGCGGGTGCCAGGGTCCGCTGGGGTCCATGCTGGGGGCCCCCGTCTCACCCCGCCTCCCACAGGGACTCGGTGGACCTGCGGCTGGAGGAGCTGAAGCCGTTCGTGCCGCCGGCCTGGATGACCGAGAAGATGCAGAAGCACATGGAAACGCTGCGCCGCGGGGCGGACGCGCCGCCCCCCGAGAGCCCCCCGGAGCCCTGAGCCCCGCCCCTGGACCCCAATAAAAGCCGCTTCGCACTCGCCTCCGCCTCCGGGGAAAGGGGATCGGGCCCTTTAAGAGCCGGCTGGGACCGCGGCTCCGCGCTCGCGGGGCGGTGGCTGAGCAGCCGCCGCTCGCCGTTACCGTGGCATCGCATCCCCGGCGAGCGCCGATTGGCCAGGTCGAACTGGGCTGCGCGCTGATTGGCGGAGGGGACGCACGTTGCGTACATTCAAACGGGGCGCGGGGCGGGACCGGACGCGGCGATCGCTGAGAGCAGCGTCCAGGGAAGGGCTGCGCACCGCGACCCGCTGGAGAGGCCCCGCACCGGGCATCCCCTCACCGGGCATCCCCTCACCGGGCAATCCCGCACCGGGACCCGCCAAGGACCCCTGCACCGGGGACCCCTGCACCAAGACAGCCGCACCGGGACCCTGCCGCTGCGGGTCCGAGTCCCGCGCAGCCGCGGGAGGGGGGAGCGGAGGGGGTCCCGGTCCGGAGCCGCCCGGGAGCAGGACCCACGTCCAGCGCCCGCCAACCGGGGGGGGGCAGCGGCGGCCGGAGCCGCCATGGCCTCGCAGAACGCGGATCCCGCCGCCGTGCCCCGCAAAGCGGCTGAGGCGGGGGCCACGGCGGCCCGCGGCGCGGTGGGGAAGAGGTGAGGAGCCGGGGCTGGGCGGGGGCCGGGGCTGGGCGGCTCCGCCGGACCGGGCCGGTAACGTGTGCTTCCCCCGCAGGCTGCAGCAGGAGCTGATGGCGCTCATGGTGAGTGGGGGCCCGGCGCGGGGAGGGGGTATCGGTGTCACGGGGCGAGCCGGGGTGGGGGGTTCCCGACCGGCCCTCACGTGCTGTCCCCCCCAGATGTCCGGTGACAAAGGCATCTCCGCCTTCCCCGAGTCCGACAACCTCTTCAAGTGGATCGGGACCATCAACGGCGCCGCGGGCACGGTGAGCAACTGGGACCTGGCACAGCGGGACCCCGGGCTCCCCCCAGGTCTGTGCCCCTCTGACTCCCTCCTGCCCCCAGGCCTACGAGGAGCTGCGGTACAGGCTGTCACTGGAGTTCCCCAGCGGGTACCCCTACACCGCGCCCACGGTGCGGTTCCTGACCCCCTGCTACCACCCCAACGTTGACACACAGGGCAACATCTGCCTCGACATCCTCAAGGACAAGTGGTCAGCCCTCTACGACGTCCGCACCATCCTGCTTTCCATCCAGAGCCTGCTGGCAGGTGGGTCCCATGCTGCCGGGGGGGGCCGGGGCTCAGGGGTCCGGGTGCCCCCCCACTGATCCCACCGCTGTCCCCAGAGCCAAACATCGAGAGCCCCCTGAACACACACGCTGCTGAGCTCTGGAAGAACCAAACCGGTGAGTGCCTGGGGCAGAACACACACACCCGGCACCCCCCCCCTCCCCAGTGTCCCGCTCTCCATGCCCCCAGGGTGTGCAGCGGTGCAGCCCCCGGCCCCGCTGCAGCCGCCCCTCAGCCCTGCACTGCTCCTCTCAGCCTACAAGAAGTACGTGCGGGAGACTTACGCGAAGCAGACCCACAGCCAGGACAACTGACCGGCACCACCACGTCCCCCCCTGCCCCTGCCCAGCCGCTGCCCCGGCTTCTGTATCATAGCTATTATTAAATTAATTTTGCAGTCTGAGCCACGGTTGTATAAATAAAAGCATGTTTATAAGTGTCCTCCTGGGGGCTCTGTTGCAGCCTGGCACCCCTAAGTCTCGCCAGCCCCTCTGCAGTTGTGGGCAGGAAAGGAGGGACACTGGTCCTTGGGGGGTGAGAGGGGCTTTATTGACCCTTGATGGGCCTGAAGCTGGTCCCGTTCCCTCAGCAGGGTGAGGGCATTGCTTGCCCTGGCTGGGGAGTACACAGGGTCCCATCCCCTGCTCTGTGATACCAGAGGGTGCAAGGGGGGGTGCTGGTCCTGCCTCCTCCCCTGCACCCGCTCAGAGCACCCTGCAGCAGGGCCCAGCGTGAGGTCCTCCCTGACCGGACACGGCCATGGTGCTGCCCGTCCCCACCGACTGCGTGGCCTCCACCGTCCACAGCGGGATGTTGGCTCTGCTCTCCATCTCTGCCAGCGTGGCCCTCACCTGCTCGATCTCCTCCTCCAGGCACGGGGCAGCCGGGGGCTGCACAGGGCCCCCCCCTCGCCGGTTCCCCAGCCCGGTGCGCAGGGGGGCTGCGCCGTCCCCCTGCAGGGAGAAGAGCTGGCAGAGGCGGTGGGCTCTGCGCAGGTCCTGCAGGAACAGCTCCAGCGCCGACAGGAACAGCACCCACAGCCGCTCCAGCTCCCGGCGCTCCTCGGGGCTCCCCGGTGCCTGCCGCAGCCCTGCCAGCAGAGCGCACCGCAGCCCTGCGGGACGCGGCCGCCGAGCGGGGGTGACCCTGGACGCCTCCGCGGGCCCCGGTGTGGGTGCAGGGGGGGCACCGCAGCCGCTGTGGGGTGCAGCAGCCCCCTCCTTACCAGAGCTGAGCTCGCGGGCCTCCGCGCTCCTCCTGCGCCGCTCCTCCCGCAGCCGGGGGCCGTCGGCGCTGCCCCCCAACTGCAGCACCAGCTGCCGGTGCCCGGCCATGGCCTTGCAGAGCGTGGCCTGGGCTGCAGCACACGTTCCTGCTGCTCCCCGCAGGCGGCACGCGTCCGCTCTCCTTAGTGCCATCGTGTGCCCTGAGGCTGTGGCAGGGTCCAGCCCCTCCATGGTGGCCCCTGGCTCTGGGCTGCGAGCCCCTGTCCCACCAGCTGCCCGGTGCTGCTCTCGCTGTCCCCACATAGGCTGGGTGCTCCCTCGTCCCCTGCTGCGTTTCTCCTGGCCGCAGCGAGAGGCAGGGAGGAGCGGATCCCTGGGGAGCAGCGATGCACGCCGGGCGGGCAGGGCATGTCCCAGCACAGCAGCTCCAGCGTTGCCTTGACCCCGTGGGGAGGGGGGAACCGGTGTTCCCCCCATCCCCTCCCCAGCCCAGGTCCTCGGTGCCCTCCTAGGCAGAGTACAGGGTTCCTGGTGTAGCGCTGGTGCTGGAGGCTCCCCAGATCCCCCCAGATGGGCAGGAGCGGCCGCAGGGCCCCCAGTGCCGCCGTGTGAACCGGCTGCTCCGCATGGAAACTCTGAGCTCAGCGCTGGCGCCGGCCCAGCCTCCCGTGGGAACCCTGGCCCCGCACTGCCCTGTGGCCCCACGGCGTGAGCGTGACCAACACAGGCACCCACCCCACCCGTCCTCACCGGGGGAGCAGCGCAGGGGCCGCAGCCCCCTCCCCGTGTGAACCCGGTTGACCCCGCACCAGCAGCTCGAGCCTCCCCCCTTTATTGAGGATCACACTGAAACTGCGCGCGGAGGAAAAGCTCGGCCGTGGCAGTGGGGCCGGCGCAGGGCAGGGTGCAGCTGGGGCCAGGGGCTGGCTGCTGTGGAGCTGCTGCTCCCTGGCTGCTGCTGGAGCGGGGCTGGGCGCAGCCGCCGGCCCGAGGAATGTCTGGTCCTTTACTGCACCCCCTCCATCATCTTCAGGAACTCTGCAAGACAGCAGCGGGCTCAGCCTCTGGCCCGGCCGGGCCGCACAGCACCTGTGCTCAGCCATGGCCAGCGCTCACCGTCGAAGTCGATGCGCCCATCGTTGTTCTTGTCCGAATCCTTCATCATGTCCTCAATGTCCTCATCGGTGACGGGCTCCCCGGTGGCCCTCAGGATCTCACCCAGCTCCTCGATGTCAATGAACCCATCTGCATTCCTGCAGCAGGGTGAGGGCAGGATGTGCCCAAAGAAATAATAAACTATTTTTGCCCAGAGAAGCTGTGGCTGCCCCATCCCTGGCAGTGCTCAAGGCCAGGTTGGACACAGGGGCTTGGAGCAAGCTGCTCCAGTGGAACGGGTCCCTGCCTGTGGCAGGGGTCGGAACTGGGTGATCTTAAGATCCTTCCCAACCTGAACCATTCTGATTCCATGTGACCCCGATTCCCCTGCAGGCAGGATGGGGCAGCCATCACATTGCCCCCACTCACCGGTCGAAGACACGGAAGCAGTTGGCCAGTTCCTCCTCAGACTTGCCCTTGGCATCCTCTTTCATCTGGCGCACCATCATCACCAGGAACTCCTCAAAGTCGATGGTACCGCTGCCTGGGGGGAGGGAGCCAAGCATGGGTCAGGCTGCCCACCCAGCACCAGCACCTCCTGCCCAGCACCCAGGGCTGCTCACCATCCTCATCCACCTCCTCTATGATGGCATCCAGCTCCTCCTTTGTGGGGTTCTGCCCCAGCATCCTCATCACCGTCCCCAGCTCCCTGGTGCTGATGTCCCCGCCGCCATCAGCATCGAACATGTCGAAGGCGGCCTTGAACTCTGTGGGGAGAGGGTCAGTGCCGGGCAGTGCACAGGACGGCACCGGGGCAGAGCCTGGCCCTGCGCCTCGCCTGGGTCTGGTCCCTCTCCCCGCTGCTCACCCGCGATCATCTCCTCGCTGAGGAAGGCGCGAGCCTCTGCCTGCTGGTCCGTCTGCAAGGCACGGGAGCGGGCTCAGCACAGCCGCACACGCTGCACCGGGGAGCTCCGCACACACGGCAGCCAGTGGGGCAGGATGGGGGGAGAACCCATCACAGCCAGGGGATGGTGCCAGGGCAGCTCCGGTGCCGCACAGGCCCCTCTGGTGGCAGTGGGTGCTCGGGCCCCTCCGTGGCGCAGTGGTCACGGTCCCCATGCGCATCCTTGGCATCCCGGGCACGCGGTGCTATTTTGGGGGTCTCCTCAGCTCCCCTTATAGGGATCAGTGGAGCCGCGGCCGCCGGCACCTGTCGCTCCTGATCGAGTTTCTCCTGGAGGCGCAGGCTGGGGCCGGGGCGACGCCGTGTCCCATGACCCTGCGCTCGCCTTTCAGCCACCGCTGCCTCCGCGCTGCCCCGAGCTCCGGCCGGGGCTGAACTCCCGTCCCCACACACCCGCACCCCCCGGGCTCCAGCCGGGGCTGAACTCGTGTCCCCACACACCCGCACCCCCCGGGCAGCCAGGCAGACCCCAGGGGCACGGCCACGGGGCCCCTGCACCACCCTGACACCTCCGTGCCCTCACCACTGAGCTTGGCCCAGCCCCGGGCTCCATCTCCCCACCACCATCCACGGAGGCACCTCAGCAGCCCTGATTCCCAGGGCACCCGGCACCCCCTGCGCCCCAGGTCTCGCCCCAGCACACAGCACATGCCATGCAGCACACGGCACGTGGCAGCTCTTACCATTGAAGGCATTTTTGCTGCTTTCCTCCCCGAGGGAGTCACCACCTCCTGCAGCAGAACCCTCCAGAAGCTTCCTGGTGCCACTGGCACCCCAATTTGTAGCGTCCCACGGGGCTGGCGTGCCCCCAGCCGCTGGCCCCCCGGCCCCAGCAGCCTATCAGCTCCCCGGTGGCAATCCGGCCCCGCTCATTGGCAACCAGAGCATTTTACCTAATTTAGCCAAAGCGTTATTGGCCAGGAGCTGGGGATTAAGCACGGGTCGGGAGCTGGGATAGAAATTCAAGCCCTCCGGGGAGGGACACAGGAGCCTTGGCAGGAGGACGGCTCTGCCCACCCACCCCCCCCGCCGCGGCACCCCCGCCCAGAGCAGCTCAGCGAGGAGGGGGTTAAAAATAGCCCCAGAGCCGCCAGCATCACTCAGACAAGGGGTTCAGGACACCCCTGCCCCAGACATCTGCCCCAGTACAGGGGTATGGACCATTGCCCCCCTCCCCTGCCAAGCCCACAGCCCTGCTGGGGCAGGATCCCAGGAGGGGGCCAGGCTCCCCTGACACAGTCCCATCCTGACACAGTCACCTCCTTCACCCCGCAAGCCCCCGGGGGCTCCAGCCTCGTTCCACTACCTGTGCCCCTCCTTCAGCCTTGTTTTCTGCTCTGGTGGGCCAGGGCACAGCCGTGTTGCAGCATCCACCCAATGGTCCCCAGCAGGACGTGGGCCATGAAGCCCCTGAGGGGCACAGAGCATGCTCCCCCCCCCGCGGTACAGGGTCCCCAGACCATTGGCACCTGAGTCCGGAAAAGGCCCTGTCTCTCCGTGCCACCAGGAGAGTGGGAAATGTGCCCAGGTGCCTCTTTGAAGGCTGCGCCCTCACACAGTGCAGCCCATGCCAGCCACCTCTGCCAGGGCTGGCCACGGCTAGTGGCCTGCCTTGGGAACATGCTGGCCAAGTGGCCTGTGTCCCACAGTGCTCTGAGGGGGCTGCACAAGAGCTGGGGGCTGCAGAGGGGTCAGGCAAACAGCACCCTGTCCTGCAAGGTCCCAGTGCCGGGGACATGCAGGAGGTTCCCTGGCTCCTGGTTTTGCTGGGAGCACCCATTCCCGGGATGGGTGCTGCGGGTGGCACCAGCGCAGCCTCTACAAAGTCCCACCCTGCCCTGCAGCCAGCAGGGAGGGAGTTGGGAGGGTTTGGGACCACTGGGCACCAGGTGCTGAAGCCCCAAGCCCCGCCGGTGCCGTGGGGAGCTCCGGGACCCCTGATGGAGCCCGGGCAGGATGCGGGCTGCTGGAGCTGAGCGCAGCGGGCGAGCAGGGGCAGAGCGATGGCAGCAGCTGGGCCGATTCCTCGGTATTAATAGACATTCCCAAGGAAGCGGCGAGGAGGAAGCAGACACGGCGCTAAATAAGGCAGCGGAGCCGAGCGGGCCACGTAGGGAGGCCAGACGGGCAAGGGCCCGGGGAGCCCGGGCAGTGGGGAACGACCCTACCCGGGGGGTGCGGCACCGTGGAGCCGGGAGCCGGCTGCAGGTACCGGGGTGATGGAGCACCGGACACGGCGGGGATGGGGCATCAGCACCCGCAGCGCCCGGCGCCGGGATGCGCGGGGGACCCGGGCCGCGGGAGCGGTGACCGGCTGGGGTCGGGCCGTGCCGCCCCCGCTGCCGCGATCCGGGTTCCAGGCGGAGGCGGAGCCGCGCAGGGAGGATCCCGGGACGCGCCGCAGCCATCGCTCGGCACGGCCCGGCGCGGGCAGCGCGGTACGGACCGGCCGGACCGGCCGCGGCGGGACGCGGCTCCGCCGGGCGGGAGAGGGGAGGGTGCGGGAGGGGGCCCGGGGCTTCACCGGAGGGTCCCGGGGCCGAGGGGTCCCAGGGCCGGGGGGCCCCATCCCAGGCCCGCTCGGGGCCCGCGGGGCCGCGGTGGGCAGCCCGGTGCGGCGGCAGCCCCCGTCCCGCCGCGTTGGGGTGACCGGTGTGACCCCCCGGCAGCCGGCCCGCCGGGATGGCCGCCCGCATCCTGCACCGCCTGCGGCACGCTCTGTCCGGTGAGGGTGGCCGGGAGGAGCGGGCGTGCGGCAGCGCCGAGGCCGAGGACTGCCCGGAGAGCTCGGAGCTGGAGGATGACACCGAGGGGCTATCGACGCGCCTCAGCGGCACCCTGAGCTTCACCAGCCACGAGGAAGAGGAGGAGGAGGAGGCAGAGGGTGCAGGAGAGGAGCTGGGGCAGCCACCGCAGCCGGCGGCAGCGGGTGCCGAGGACGGAGGTAGGAGCTGTGGGGCCGGGGCGGCAGCACCGGGGGGGCGGCCGGGGGATGGTGGGTGCCGCGGGCTGACACCCGTCTCCCGGCGCAGAGTGGGGCCCTGCGGCCGAGCGTGCCGGCGGCAGCAGCCTCCTGACCCGGCAGCTGCAGGAGCTGTGGCGCAGGTCCCGGGGCAGCCTGGCACCGCAGCGCCTGCTCTTCGAGGTCACCAGCGCCAGCGTGGTCAGCGAGCGCTCCTCCAAGTACGTGGTGAGTGAGCCCGGCGGGGCTGCGCGCAGGGTGATGCGGGGCGGGTGCGGGTCCTGTCCCCCCCCGGGGCAGGGGTCCCCCGGGCTGGTGCTTATTTCTCTCTGTCTTTCCCCGTGCTGCCCGGACGGTGCTGGCGGCTCAGATGAGCCTCAGGTAACTATCGCTGATGGGTGCTGCAGCTGCTCCCTCCTGCCCGGGCAGACCCCGCCACGGCCGTGCTCTGGCTCTGCCCGTGGCTCTGCCTGACACCCGGCTCCCCCCGCAGCTCTACACCATCTACCTGATCCGCTCCGGCCGGTTTGACAAGGCCCCCGCCGCCATTGCCCGGCGCTACTCGGACTTTGAGCGGTTGAACCGCTGCCTGCGCTGCCGCTTCGGCTGCGACATGGCCGGCATCGCCTTCCCCAGGAAGAGGCTGCGCCAGAACTTCACCGCTGAGACCATTGCCAAGCGGAGCCGAGCCTTCGAGCAGTTCCTGTCCCACCTGCACTCCATTGCTGAGATCCGCCGCTCCCCCGAGTTCCTCGAGTTCTTCTTCCTGCAGGACCTGCAGGCTGCACAGCGCCTCACCTGCACCGGCATGTACCGCGAGGCCCTGGCTACCTGGGCCAATGCCTACCGGCTGCAGGACCGGCTGGGGGCCTGCGGCTCGAGCCACTTCCTGCTGACGCTGGCCGGGCTCGCCGTCTGCCACCAGGAGCTGGACGAGCTCGGCGAGGCCCATGGGTGCTGCGAGCAGGCGCTGCAGCTGCTGGAGGCTCAGGGCAGCCACCCGCTGCTGGGGCCCTTCCTGCAGGCGCACATCCACCTCGCCTGGAAGGTGGGCAAGGACAAGCGGCGCTCGGAGGCCCGGCTGCAGGACCTGCGGGAGGCCGGGCCGCCCCTGCAGCAGCAGCCCACCCTCAAGGAGTGCCTCATCAAGGAGCCTCTGGAGTGAGCATCCCGCTGGTGCCGTGGTGAATGGAGGGAAGCGGGAGCAGCGAGGGTGCTGGCACTGGTGGGATGGGGCAGGGAGGCAGCGCTGTGGTCCTGCAGCAGCACGGCCCATGCCCGGGAGCTGCCTCAAAAAAGCACTTTCTCTGTGGTTCGTCCGCCCCATCTCGTGGGGCTGGGCACTCACCAATGCCCCGGCAGTGCTGGGAGCTGGCTCGAGGGGCTTTGGGGATGGACGGGACCTCAGCTGGGTCATACTGGCTCTGCAGAAGGCATCTGCAAAGTCCAGGGCTCTTGCCAGGAGCTTCCCATAAAACTTGCATAAGAAGGACTTTATTTAATAAAGTCTCAGTAGGAAGCAGAGCAAAGCGCCCGCCGCGTCTGTTCAGCTTCACCTCCCCCTGGGCACCACCAGCGGGACACCTCATGCTGCCCACTCTGAGGTGGGAGCTGCTCCGTCCCCTTTCCCTGCTTCCTCTTTTCCAAGCCTCTCCCTTTCCCGAGTCCCTCTCCCGAGCCCAGCCCTGGGCAAAAGACAAGGGTGAGCAGAAGCAACGACTGAGATGCAGGGCACAGCAAGGGCAGAAGAAGTGAGAAGGGGAAGCAGAAGCTGCATGTGCCGCAGGAACACTTTCACCGGCTGCAGGGGCAGAGCCAGCCCTGGCACCTCCCACCCTCCCCTCCAGACAGGTTCCCTGGGTGAGCATGGTGCCACAGGGACAAACTTCAGAGGCTGAGCTGAGCTCTTCACCAACAGCTTGCTTTATTGCAGGTGAAAGGTGCTGATCATGTAGTGCGGTTCTGTGCTGTGCTGTTGGTGACAGCAGACGTCTGTGGGTCCCCATCCATCACGGCGGGCCTCAGGCACCAGCACTCCCACAGTGCTGGATCCAGCCCATGCTTCAAAGCTCCTTCCTGCCGCCTGGGTCCTGCTCTGCCGCATCAGTTTTGGTCCCGGGGTCTCCCTCTCAGTGTGCCCAAGCCCCTCCCTGTGGGGCTCATCGGCTACAGCTTGCTCTGGTTTGGCATTTCCTGCACCCTGATGACTCCCTCCTGCGCGCAGGTGACAGCCAGGACCCCATCCCTGCGCCACAGCCGGCCCTGCACCAGGCCCCGGCACCCACCTGCAGAGAGGCTCCCTCAGACCACAGCTCGAGGGGCGGGCAGGGCCAGGGCCTGCCATGCAGGGTGCCAGGGGCATGATGAGCACTCACCAGCCCAGGGGCTCTCACACTCGTACAGCATCCAGTGGTCCGCTCGGAAGGGTGCATGGAACCACATGGAATGGTCAAGGGACACCATGAGCTTGATGTGGTACTGCCGGTGCGGTAGCAGGGCCGTGCCCAGGAAGGCGTAGTCGGAGATGTAGGCAGCCACGCAGCAGTGCACCTTCATGTCAGTCTCTCCTGCAAAGCAACCGGCTCTGCCCGTCCTGGCCAGCAGCTCTGCTTCCTGAGAGCCTGGCACAGCCGAGACGCTCCTCCAGAGCCGCTGCCCTGCCCGTGCTCCCGGGGGAAGCCCGTCATGGCTGGGCATGGCACAGGGCACTGCTCCGTGCTGCAGCACCTGCATCTGCATCACAGCCTTGAAATCCACAGGCTCGGGGTGCAGGCAGCCTCTGAACCACAACCCTTGAGTGCTCTGCAGCATGAGCTTGAGCTCGAGCCCTCAGCTCGTGGGCAGCCGAACACCCTCCTGGCAGGACCCACCTATGTAGCCTCGTGCTCGCACCCAGAAGAACTGCTTTGGCTCCTGCGGCTCCAAGCAGAACGTGTCTGGCGGGTTCACGGGTTTGATATCAATCGGCACATCTTCGGCTTGAATCTTGGTGAGGTGCTTTCTGTATCTGTCTGCCAAGTTAGGATTCCTGTAGGCCGACAGAGAAGCGAGGTTAGTGCCAGGCAGGCCAAGGGCACGTCCTTGGCAGCGGCTTCAGCCCGGGGCCACCCGGGGCACGCTCCTGCCCTGCCTCTCTGCTCCCTTCCCACGTATATTTGGGAATTCCTTGGGCAGTCATCCCAATCCTCTCCTGCCTGCTTTCGCCACCGCACCTCCCCGAGCCCCGGGCGCAGGAATGGAATCCCCGGGGTGCCCCTTCCACCCCACTCACCGCAGGAACTTCTGGATGAGCTCCTCTTGCGTCAGCAGGTCCTCGGGAGGGGGCACAGAAGGCATGGTGAACTGATGCTGCACCGGGCTCCCCTGGGAGAGCTGGAAGGAGGCCTGGCAGGTGAAGATGGGCTTTCCGTGCTGGATGGCCTTCACGGAACGAACAGAGAAGCTCTTCCCGGTGCGGGTCCGCTCCACCTCGTACAGCACCGGCACACTGGGGTCCCCTGGGGCAGCAATGGGACATCCTGCCGCTGGGCCACCAGCACCGCAGATGGGACGCGACCTACAAAGGCCAAGCCCTGGGGCCATGCGGGCAGTGCCACAACCCCCGCCGTGCTGCGCGGCACCAGCTCACCCCGCGGGCCTCATCCGCGGCAGTCACCGCCCGACCCGGCCCCCTGCGCGCTGACAGCCGCCCAGGAGCCCGCTCGCCCCGCGCCGCCCGCCCCGGCCCCTGCCCACCTGCCCGCACGAAGTAGCAGTGCAGCGAGTGCACCTGCTCGTCGCGGCTGACTGAGCGCGCGGCCGCCACCAGGGCCTGCCCCACGATCTGCCCGCCGAAGAGGCGCTGCGTGGCGGGCACCCAGTGGTGCCGGCCCCTGCGGGGGAGAAGGCGGCGGCGGTGAGAGCGGCGGCGGCAGCGCGGCCCGGCCCCGGGCTCGGCGGCGCCGCGCACCTGAAGAGGTCGAGCTCCAGGCGCTCCAGGCTCAGCACGCTGGTGATGAGCGCGCTCCGCAGGTCCCCGGCCGGCGGCCGCCCCGAACCCGGCCTCGAACCCGCGGCCGCCCCGTCCGCGTCTCCCGGCGCTGCCATCTTCGCCAGCGGCGGCACGGAGAACAGCACCCCGCGGCCGCCGCGCTCAGGGCCAGGAAGCACCGCCCACCCGCGGGCGCGCGGCCGCCAGCTGATTGGGCCTCCCAGGTGTCAGTCAAGTGGGTGTGGCAGAACGCTCTGCGCTGTTTGGCTCCCCTCCTGCCAATCCGGAACGAGCGCCTCTGATTGGTCAGATCCAGGGTGAGGGCGGGGTCGCAGCCAGTTTAAGGCAGGGAGCGCGACTGCGGCTACAGCTCTTGGTGCGGCGGGGAGGCTGGCGCCTTTGGGCTCCGTTCCGTTCCGTTCCGTTCCGTTCCGTTCCGTTCCGCTCCGCTCCGCTCCTAGGCCGCGTCGGGATGCTGCGTGTCCGCCCGGCCGGCAGGGGGCCCCCAGGGCCACGGCACAGCCCGCTATGGCTCGCGGGAGGGCGGGGCCCGCCGGGGCGCGTCCCCCGGTAGCGGCGGGAGCCGCTCGGTGGGTGCGGGCGGAGGCCCCGCCGGGGCTCCGTGGTGGCTCCGTGGTGACCTGTGCGAGCACATGGCCTCTGTGAGCCTCCGGAGCGCAGCCCCGGGCACCGTCCTCGCCCAGCGCACTGGAGGTGTCCCGGGTGCTGACCCGGCGAGCCGCGGGTGCGCCGCGAGGAGGCGGTGGTGCGATGCCGCGGGCTGAGGCTGTGCAGGTCCCGCCGCGCTCCTGTGCAACGCGGCCAGGAACGGGCCTCGAGTCACTCGGAGCCGGGTCCGTCCCCGCGCCGCAGCCGCCTCCTCTCTGCTTGTGGCGGCTGCCCTCGACCCCCCGGCGAGGGGGACCTGGGCCCGGAGCGCAGGGGCAGGCGGAGGGGGGGTGGTGGTGTCACCGCAGCGCTGCGGAGCAAAGGCTTCAAGCATGAGGGAAACACCCAGAGCTTGTTTCTCAAGCCCCGGCCCCGGGCGCTGAGCTCGCAGCAAGAGCTGCTCCAGCGCAAGCAGCTCCAGAGCCCGTCGGGCTGGGATGTGGGGGGCGGTGTTGGAGACTTCACCCCATCGCTGTGCTTCAGTTGTGTTGGTGTTTTTGGGAGGGTCAGCCCCTTGCAGGAGCACTGCTCTGTGGCTGGGGAGTTCCTCTTGATCGAGGGTTTTGTAACATTATCTGATACTATCAAATCTCCCTGACTAAACGGAGTGTCGTGTTTCCTGAAACGCTGCTCTGTGCAGTTGGAGCTGCTTGTTTCACCCCTCAGCTGAGCTGCAGAGAGGCCTCGAGGGCTCTGCTGCTGCCCGCCCCCGCCATCGCTCCCTGGCATGCGTGGGCTTCCATCAGACTCCGGCGGGCTCCTCTCTCTGGCTCTTGCTCCGTGCAGCTCTGACCCCGTGTCACCGCCTGGCACCAGCACCGCAGGAGGGTAAAGGGTCAGGGGAGGGGTTGGGAAGCGCTGGGCTCCCCGCAGCCAGCGAGGTGAGAGAGCTGCACACTGCACTGGGTCACCGGCCACAGGCATGTGCCTGAGCTGTGGCTGCTCCAGCGCAGCTCCCGGGGCGCTGCGGGCTTCCCTGCGGTATCGCCCGCAGGAAACAGCTCATCCCTCACGAGGTAAACATGTTTCCCAAGAGCGAAACTGCCTGTTCGGGGCCAGCACCCGCCTGTGATTTACCTCCACGTGAGCGCTGGGCCGGGCCCTCCCGCGCTCTGCCCAGCCCCCGCACAGAAGCACCCGTGCCCTGGCTCAGCTTGCTGGGGCTGCTGCAGCAGGGGGGATCCCAGCCCAGCCCCTGAGCCCTCCTCTGACGGGACTCTGCCACCTTACTGAAGGCAGCGCCCTGTAGCCACAAGAAATGCTGCGACACAGAGGGCGAAGGAAACCCCCTTGGCTGGGGACCAAACACCCCAAAGCTGCAGCTTCCTCCCCAGGCAGGAGCGGGGCAGCTGCCCCCTCGCTCCCCGTGTTGCTCCGTGCACCCAAGCCCGCAGCGCGCTCGCTCGCTGGCTGGAAGGACTTTATTGGGCTCTACCCGCTGCTGCCCGCACCCCTGCCCTGCGGCGCGGTGAAGGTCCCTCTGACGCACTCCGTGTGCCCCGCTGGGGGGCTCGTGCCGTGCTCACCAGTGCCGGGGGCAGCTGTGGGTGCAGGTCCTGTTGCCATGGGGGGAGCCCTCGACACCTCACTCGTGTTTGCAGAAGCTCTTCAGCGGCGGGGGCAGGTCCAGGCCGTCGATGGCCAGGCGGTGCACAATGTGCTTCTCGATGACCAGCCGGCACAGGGTCTGCAGGGACGGCACTGGGGACAACACAAACAAGGAGCTGAGCTGCCTGTGGGATGGGTCCCACAGCTCCCCAGAGGCACCCAAAGGTGGCAGTTGCTCTGCCACAGGAGCAGCAGGGTCCTGCCCAGGGCTTGAGCTGGCTGTGCTGGCTGGCCTGGAAGCTTGAGGGCTCCATGCAGAGAAGCTCTTCCTGTTGCTCAGAGCAGGGCTGAGGGATGGTTCTGTGCCCAAGCCACACCTTGCTGGGGCTGTTTGCATCTGTCATCTCTGGGGGCTGTTGAGCAGCTCCCCAGGTCTCACACACCTGCACTGTGCTCTGCTTTCCCTGGTTCCTTGGCCTGCTTCCACTGCTGGGTGTCTGCAGGACAGCTCTAGAGATGCCTTTGCGACAACCACCTTGACCTATTCTGTGGCCACCCCTGTGGCTCTGCCTGGTTCCTGCTCCTGTGACACACGTCCCTCTGGGATTCCTCTCTCCACAGCCCTTGGTGGCTCAGCACAGCGGTGCAGTTGTTTAAACAAGAGCTGACTCAGGTGCAGCCGTGGGCCCTGGCTCATCCACAGCTTCCAAACCAAAGGTGAGCTCCCTGGGGCATTGTGCTCAGCCAGATTGGACCCAGCCCTTTCGGCTGAGGCCTCGCAGCTGCAGGGCCGATGCCTCCAGGAGCTCACACCGGGCAGAGCAGGGCTGTGCTGAGCAGGAGCATGCTGTGCGCAGCCCTCTGCCAGCCGCGGGGCTGGTTCTGGATGGCTGGAGCACTTATCTCCACCTCAGCAGCATGGGGTGCATCCTGCCGAGTGCTGGGTGATGGGTGGCAGATGCCCTTTGCCTCTCCTGGCCCCTGCACCGCGTGTCACCAGCAGCTCAGCTGCTACTTCTGCTTTCCACTTCACCCACCAGTCCCTGGCCAGGAACAGAAACACACTGGGACTGATTTTAAACCCTGCGGAAGTGGTGCACAAACTGGAGTTACTGAAATCTTAGTGGAGGAGAGGAAGCCAGCTTGTGCCTCTGCGGCAGTGCCCCTGCCAGCCGCGGGGACACAGCCTAGGGCTCAGCGCTCACAGGGACCCACGGCTGCGGTGCAAGGGGCCAGCTCTCCCCTGTACGTGCTCTAGTGCATCCCTCACTCTCCAGGGTCTCAGTTGCCTGCGGTAGCTCAGGTCGGTGACCCTCAGCACACTCCCAAGGCAGGGCCTGGGCACCAGGCACGTTTAAACCCCGTTTGGATAACTGGGCTCACAGCAACTGGTGGAAGAATCCCAGATTCCAGCCTTGAGACAGAAGCAGCTGAAGGCTGCACCAGCAGAGACGCGGTTGGTGGCCCCCGGTGCTCGGCACAGCCACCACCAGGCACCAGCTCCTGTCTTGCCCCTCATCTCATCTCATCTCATCTCATCTCATCCTCAGCACTGGCTGTTTATGATGCTAATTAGCGATGAGCCTGACTCCTCGTAGGAGCCATGACCAGCACCGCCCGAGGGACGCCGGGCATTGCCCAATCTCCGGTGGCATCACGGGGTGTCCGCCCAGGGCACAGCACGGGGCACGTGGCAGGTGCAGGGCACAGCGTGTGCCTGGGCGGGCGCTGCCGGATGTTTTGGTGCCCAGCAGGACGTCACCCGGCTCTGGCTGCCTCGTGCCATGGGCAAGGCCAGGCACCGCGACAGACACCAACAGGCAGCAACGTGAGCACCAGCACCGGCCTCTGGTCAGGAGCGTCCAGGCGGCTGGGGGTGAGCATGGTACTGCTGGGGCACCATGGCCCTCAGTCCAGGGCAACCCAGAATACCCACCCCATCGCTCTGCCCGGGAGCAGCAACCAGGCCGGGCTCTGCCCTGACCACTGCCACCGGGAGCTGGTGCGGGCTCTCCCCTGAGCCGGTGCGGTAAAGCTGTCAGCAGATGCTGCCCGTCAGCAGCAGGGTGGGCTCTCAGCCCTGCTCTGTAGGGTCCAGGGCTCTGCTGTGCTCTGTCCCGTGTCCCTCTGCCCTGTGCCACTCTCTGATGCTCCCACTGTTAAGGGGACACACCCCCCCCCCCCAGCCACTCCACAGCTCCTGTCCTGTGCGCCTGAGATGGTTTGGGTGCTTACAGCCATAATCCACCGGGATGACCCGGACGGTCTTGGTGGAGGCGAAGACGTCGACCACGGCATAGAGCGGGCGGGCTGTGGGCAGGCGCCGGGCGCTGGGCCCCATGTCCTCCCCGTTGATGATGATGTGCATGTCGGCGGTGCCGTCGGGCTGCGGGGTGTACAGCACCCCAATGCGGCTGCGCCGGGCCGTGGGGGGCAGCACGTTCGTCCTGTACAGCTCGTCCAGGATGTGGCTGTAGCGCCCGGGCCTGCTGCGCCCCACCAGCACGTCGCGGGGGATCCTCACGCGCTCGATGCACAGGAAGGGCTCCCCGGGGGTGCCCTGCGCCTCCTCCCCATCCACCGCCACGCGGTTGTGGTTGCGGGTGATGGCGAACACCCACGTGTCACCCATGTTGACCAGGTCCGGCAGCGAGTACTCGGGCACGGCCTCGAGGCGCTGTGGGTCGAGGGCCGTCAGCCCCACGCGCAGGTGCCCGCACCAGCCCAGCTCCTTCTCCTCGATCTCCACCAGGAACACCTCCCCGGGCGCCAGCGGCTCCTGGCTGAAGCAGAGCCCGTGGGCGAAGCTCTCCACGCGCGTGGCCCGCGTGCGGGTCCCGTCCAGGCGGACGTTGGCGCCGTGGACGCGGTGGAAGCGCGCGGCCATGGCCAGCGCTGCTGTGCCTATTTATAACCGGCCCCATCGGTCACAGCTGCCGCGGGGCGGGGACGGGCGCGGGGCCCGGAGGGGTCCTAGTGCCGCGGGGGAGGGTCCCGCGGGTACCGGGGGCAGGCGGGCACCGTCACCTTCAACGGTGCTCAACGCGGAGCCTGCCCGGGGGCCCGGCCGTGCCCAGCGCTGTCCGGCCACGGCCGCTGTGCAGCCGCGGCCCTGCCGGTGCCGGTGCCGGTGCCGCTCTCACGTGCCGAGCGGGACGGGACAGGGACCGGGCGCCCCCGGAGCTCTGATTGGCCTCCGGGCGGCCCCACCCCGCTCACGTGATCGCGGGAGGTCATATGGGTGGGTATCATGTGCCTGCCGGTATTGCCGCCTGCGGGAGCCGCGCCGGGAGCTGCGGGGGTCAGCGGCAGCGGGCGGAGGGGAGGGACGGGACCGGGCACCGGGAGCGGGAGCGGGGCCGGGGACAGCCGGGGCGGTTCGTGGGGCGCTGCCGGTGCCGTTCCCGGCCGGCAGCGCCCCGACCTCTCTCCCCCGCCGCCCGCAGATGGGGCCGGTGCTGCTGCTGGCGCTGCCGCTGCTGCTGGGGCTGAGCAGAGCCGCCCCCCCGGACCATGAGGTGACCTTCCTGCCCGGGCTGCGCAAGCAGCCGTCCTTCCGGCACTTCTCGGGCTACCTCTGCGCCGGGCCGGGCAAGCGCCTGCACTACTGGTACGTGCGGCCGGCGCTGGGCTGTGCCCCGGGCGAGGGCAGGCGCTGGCCGGGCGCTGACGACCGCGTATCCGCAGGTTCGTGGAGGCCCAGAGCAACCCCCAGAGCAGCCCCCTGGTGCTGTGGCTGAACGGGGGCCCGGGCTGCAGCTCCATGGAGGGCTTCCTGAAGGAGCACGGTCCCTTCCTGGTCAGTAGCCTCAGCTGCCCCGTGGCCGGGGCTGTCAGGCTGTGTGTGCAGCACGAGCCACCCCACCAGGGCCAGCCTGGCTGTGCCCTTCGGTCACTGCCTTCTGCCTCCCCAGGTCCAGCCCGATGGGGTCACACTGAAGTACAACGACTACGCCTGGAACAAGGTACGGGCACAGGCGCTGCCACCGCTGACAGCTGAGGGGAGAGGGTGGCCCTGAGCTGGTTCTTCCTGCCTGTGCCACAGAACCCATTCCTGCAGCCCCCCTGCCTGGCTCACTCTCCTCTCAAGTCTGTTCTCAAGACCTGGCAGGAGCCCTGGGCCGGGCCAGGCACCCATGGGTGCTGCTGGTTTCAAGCCAGGAGCAGATGCTGTGAGCTCCCTCTCCTCTGCTCACCCTGCAGGTTGCCAACGTGCTCTACCTGGAGTCCCCCGCTGGCGTCGGCTTCTCGTACTCCGATGACAAAAACTACGCCACAAACGACACGGAGGCAAGTGATGGGGCTGATGGAGGGGCCCATCCCGGAGCAGGGGTCCTGCCTTGCTGGTGACTCGGCCCTTCTGCCCTGCAGGTTGC